AATTAAGCTTTTTATTCCCTCTTTAGTTAGAGTTCTTTGTTTAGTTTCTTCATTTATTTTTAGGATTACTCTCTTTCTCCCCCATCCCCATTGTTTAAGCTGTTGAGTTATTTGACAATTGTTCACAGTGTAGAAAATAATGGTTCCACACAAAACATCTCGAAGTGTAAAAGAAGGGGGGAGAAGAGTGTGTCTGCTACTTTGAATGTTTGAGGCATAGAAGCCTGGTAGCAATTGAAGCTCTGTTGTTATAAATATCACCTTTGAGTGTGTCTCAGAGTCTTTAGAAAATCTGACCATTCGCCAACAGTCTTTTACAGACTTCAAAATGAGAGACTTCATACTGACAGCAGGTAATTGCTATAGTCTGTACCAAATGATGCCATGGAGTTCACAAACATACGGGGATGCTGGATAATTAGTACACACTCACAGGACCCTAGGATGCATTTTTAACAGGGATGACAGATGAGTGTAGGTTTTAGATATGAAGGTGGTTTGGGAAAGCAATTTTTATCTGCATTGTAAGTTACATTAAATATATAATAAAATATGGCATGCAATTGGACAAAAATAATTTTCTTACACAAATTATTAATCTATATTTGTTAAAAGGCAAACTCTGACATATTTAACAGTTTAAATGAGCAAAAATCAGTTTGGGCAGTATCCCATCTAGCAGACAGAAAGGATCTCTTTGTTTTGTACAGAGAGAGATCCTTTCTGTACAAAATGAGACTTTTATAAGCAGAAGGGAGTGGAAACAAGGAAATTATATGTAGGTTAAAAAGCATATTGGTTATTAAAAGTTTACTTTCCTTTAGGGAATGGCATAGACATCAGGCAGATTAGTGCTGATCTGGTGATTTCCTGATTGACTGGTTTAATTACTTGGAGGGCTAAAGTCTGTTTGATGACATGGGGCTTAACACAAGCATATTCATTTGGGGCATGATACCCCTTTAATCAGACTCTCAGCCTAAATGGAAGACCTGATCAAAGATTTAAGGCATTAGCACTACTCCCTGTTATGACATTGGGGTTCTTGTAGCTTTTGCAAAATCTGTGTGTTATTGGCGGGTCACAGCTTAAGGTTTATATTCCTTAAACTGGTCATTCTCGTCACATCTTATGTGCTATTCTTAATAAGATCATTTGCTTGGTGATTAGCAACTGCAAACATGCATTTGAAACCTTTGAGAAAATGCAGTGCATCAGAGAGATGACTATGGTTATTATAAACTGGATCATCCCCAATGAGTGCACTGCACTTTGGAGACTTGGTCCCCAAGCACAAACTAATCAGAATCAAAGACATCGGAGAAAGACTCCAGTGAAGGTGTCACTTTCTTAAGCCAGTGGACTTGTTCTGTGACCTTACAGAGCTGAGTCTCAACTTTCCCACAGCCAAGACACCTCACTCTTTCAGCTAAAAGAGAATCAAGGGCTATCCTATTATCAAAAACAACTTTTGTGAGAGAGCCTAGGGATTTTTGTTGGGCAGCTACTGCTTTAACAGCAGATTCTGCAGTATTTTCGAGAATTAAGGAGAGGGTCCTGATCATAGCCTTTTTGCATTTACTGCTAGCCAGGGGAGTAGGGATTTGCCAAAGAACAAATTTTGAATCATGAATGCTTCCTGGCATCTCCCTTTGAGTCTGTGACAGCCATGAAGGCCAGTAAAATGGAAGCGTCTGTAGACTCCAGAGGAGCTTTTATTCTGATTCCCTCTACTTTGCATGGCTTTCTTTGTAGAGGATGGAAGCAAAGTTCCCCTGGTTCAGGATTGGTAACCAGAGGCAGGGAAATAGAACCTGGGCTTAGAGGACCTGATACCATAGAGCAGAGGCTACTTATGTTTAGAGAATCATAATGTTTGCGAGTAGACTTCTTTGGTGTGTTTCAGAAATAAAATTATGAGAATGTTGTTTACCAGTAATAAATTCTTAAATGGATCTTAAAGGCCTAGACCAAAGCTAATCAAGGACACAATAGAATGTCTTTTTTCCCCTCAATTACTGGAATCTATAGATAATTTAATTAAAGAAAACATTTTTTAATATCAGCATTCTCATGGCAGTAGTTAAGAGCACAATCTCTGAAGTCACCTCTGCCATTTCACTCTGAGTAAATCACTAAACCCTTCTAAGACCAAGCTTCCCCAGGAAGATGTGCCCAAGCTACTTTGCCTCAAAGATCTGTAAGCTGCCTTCACTTCATGTAGTATAACGCAGTTATTTAAGATCTTCACAATTGTTAATGATATTTTAGTCATTAAAAATTAATGCATTTTTATTTTAATGAAATCAATAATCTCATTTTCCAGAGCCAGACTTGTGAAAGCAACATATATTTTATTCTTTTAGTAAACATTTCTGAAAGTAGGTGCCTGTTCTTGTGAAACATAGATAGTTATTGAATATCTTGGAATTTATCTTGGATTGTTCATTCTTATATCTTTCTTTCTTCTTTCTTCCATTTGTTTATGTATCTTCATTCTTGTAGCTTACCGTCTCCCTAATCACTTATTCAATCTCTCTTTTAATATTTTATTAGCATTACCTCTGTGGTTTCTCAAACCCTGGCCCTATAATTAAGCCAGTTTTATAATTCTTTTACATTTTTGATTTATAAGATAATTTCCCAAGGACATAAACTGGTTACATATATGAGTGCAATTTTATGCCCTGTATGTAGTTTAAAATAAGTGATAAAGTATAATTTTCAAAAGATTAGGTAAATGCATGCTCAAAAATGCACATACTTTTGGTATGTTCTTGCCACCTAACTGAATCAGTATTTAAAATTAACATGGGTGGATTTCACTTGCTTCCAATGCATGATCAATCAAGCCAAAGAATTCATAAGCAACATCCAATGTTACTTGGCCAAATATTGAAGGACATACACAGACACACCAAAATACACATACACACGCACACATTCAGTAACATCCACCAGTTCTGGTTTTACAGTAGACCTCATCTGTGATAGCTGAACAGCAGACAAGTCAGTTCTACCATATTTACTTGTCCGGTCTACATAAAATTCTCTAGCAGGTTAGAAAAATAAGTCTCTACTTGTTAGTTAAAAAAATACATGGTAACAGGCCCTGGCTGGTGTAGCTCAGTGGATTGAACATGGGCCTGTGAACCAAAAAAATATCACGTTTGATTCCCAGTCAGGGCAAATGCCTGTGTTGCAGGCCAGTTCTCAGCAGGGGCCAGTTCCCAGCAGGGGATGCACTAGAAGCAACCATGCATTGATATTTCTCTCCCTCTCTCCTTCCCTTCTCCTCTAAAGATAAATAAATAAAATTTAAAAAAAATACATGGAAACAGGAAATTTACCTATTTTTCTCATACTTGACTATCTCTAAAAGTTATATACATACTAATAGAGAATTAATACTGTTATTGGCCCTCCCCATTAAAAGAGGTAAATTGCTGTCTCAATTTATTATTAAAGCTGTTTGTGCTTAGAGAAAACTGAGGTCACTTGTCTAACATTACAAAATATCTGGAATATGGAGGAGTTGGGATATGACCTTCAGATTTGTGACGCTACAGCCCTTTTGTCTAACTACAATGCATCAGAATCTGTATTCTTGACTTGTACTAGATGGTGAAATACTATGAAAACAACATCTTTACTCTGCATTTAGAAAAAGGTATTTGGGGAGTGGTTTATATTCAATTTTTTGTATATAACTTGAGATTTTTTAGTTTATAAAAGAAGGTTGTCAGGGGAGGATGATCTGTAAACTGCTCTGTGCAACTAATGTAGGCATCGGCATTAGTTTGACCCTTTCTTGAGGTCAGCCATAGCCATTTCCTCATCCTCCTTCCTGTCACTTCATGCTGAAGACATGAGGACTCGAGGAGATATTATTTATGTCAGGCACATTTTTGGACATAGCTGCATTGATTGAGGGGCTACTTGATCTCTTTGAGTAAATCCATTTAACCTCACACTGCTTCTCTGCTCTTTGGATTTGAAATGACCTTTATCTTTTTATAACTACTTTCCTGGAATAAATGCAAAACAACAAAGGGTGATTAATGAAGAATAATAAAATCACGATCGTTTCAGACTGAATTTTGTGGTATCCTATTTCTAAGGGGGGAGACCTGAAAAACTGACCATGTATTTGATTTTCTTCCTCCAAATATATATAGTTTAAACCTTGAAATTTCAGAAAAAATTTATATGCCATAATTTAAAATATATTACAAAATATGTATGCTTTTACATCATAAGTGGTTATAACTTAAAAATTGATCTAAAAAGTAAAAAAAAAGTAAAAACGTACTACCCAACAAAATGTACTTTTAATATTTTGTTGTATTTTCTTTCAATTGTTTTACCTTTGTATCTGAATTCTACACAGGTTGTGTCCGTAATATACACAGTACTTTTTATCCTGACATTTTGTCATAAATATATTCTAATTTTTATGGAATTCTCATGTCACATTAATATATCTTAGTTATCTATTGAGTTAGTGAATGATGATTTTCCTAGCTCTTCTTCATCCACTGAACATTTAGGTTAACAACTTTTTACTGTTGTCATCGATCCTATAAAAACCATCTTTGGACTATAGCTTTGAACTATCTCCCGGACAGTGGATTGCTTGGGCAAAAATTTGTTCATATTTAGGATAAATAAACACATTGCCCCAATGTTCTTCCAATGGCACTGTACAGCTTAGAATGCCAGCAGTAATATTCAAGAGTGCCATTTTTATGACATCCATGCCAGTATTGTACATAAGATGTTTTCCAAATGATTGTGAGGAACAAATAGGAAGGACACAGGGACGAGAACTAAGGGGGGTGGAAATGGGAGGGAGGTGGGGAGCAAGGGGCGGAGGAGGCTGGGATGGGAAAAATAGACAAAAAAACTGTACTTGAAAAATAACTAAATAAAATTAATTTAAAAAAAAAACGATAAATGGTACTTCATCATATAGGTTTTGTGCTTCCGCTTAAATTTAGAGTGAAGAAGGAGCTCCACAGGAAGGAATTCTGGAAGATATGCCCGGGGATCCTGACAATGAGACTTATGAAATGCCTTCTGAGGTAAACTTTATATACATAACACTCCAAAATTAAAGTTTGGGACTTTAAGTTTGGTCTCTATAATAAGCAGTACCAAAATCTGTGCCTCTCAGATTTCCTGCACATTTCTGCTTAGTGAGAATGACTTACACTCTAGACAAACAAATTGGCCAACTCCAAGATATGTTTTACGTGGACAACTTGCAAGCTATAAATGGCTTTTAAATTTGCGAAGGGTTGTTAAAAAAGGAAAAGTAGCAGCAGCAAAAGAAACCATATGTGGCCTATACCCTAAAATACCACTAACTGGCCCTTTACAGAAAAAGTTTGCAACTTGCATTATAGAAATATTTTATTAGAACTCTTACATTTCAAAATAAATTCTAAAATGAAAAGCTAGAGAAAGCAACTAAATGCTAAAAGAAAGTAATTACTTCTTGTCATATATTTTTAGTGACATGTTTGCATAATAAAAAGTTAACCAAAAAATCATAAGTAAAAAGATGATAAATAAATGATTTGTGACAACTGATATAATTCAGTATAGTATTTTAAACAGTATAATTTGGTTAATTTTATTTTAATTTGAAAATAGAATTTCTTTAGTAGGAAGTGTATCAGAAGGAAAATTAGAAACTATTTTTAGATGAATGAAACTGACTCAAAAGAAAACAGAAAATCCAAAAAGATATATAACAAGGAAAAGTGATCAAATTATTATTTAAAAGCTACCCAGAAAGAAAATTTCAGGACCAACTGACTTCACTGGTGAGTTTTGCTAAACATCTAATGAATAATTATAGTAACATCAATTAATTACAATGAATATTAATTAAATTCTCTTCCAAAAAAATAGATACAGGAGAATTCCCCAACTAATTCTATGAGGATAATATTACCATGATGCCAAAATTAATGTCATAAAAAAAGAAAGTGTGTTACTGCTTCATTAGAAATTGAGTTAAAGTGTGTAGTTAGGTTATATGTTATTCTTCATGGCATCATTACAAGGCATGTTGCTAGTAACCCCATTTATAAAAATTGAAATTCAATCGTTTCTTTACCTAGTTAGATTTTAGCAATGTTTTGGGCTCTTTTTATGCATGGCAAAATGCTTAACACTACAGAAAAATGCAAATAAGAGTAATTGATAGTACCAGGACATAGGGGTATACAGTCCTGTAGGTTTGATAAAAACAAATACAAATTCATTTCTTCATTTATTTCTCATGATTTTTTAAACAAATGTTATTAACTGTCTTCTCTGCACCAAGTATCACAGAAGCAAAAATATACAAATTAGACAAAATAGTATAACAGTTTAATGGGTCTGTTTAGATCAATTGGGAGGAGTTTTACAGAGGAGGTGGTGCTGAGTGGGGTGGGAGGAGCTGGGAGATGTGATAAGTCAAAGTGAAGAAGGGACATTCTAGCCCCAAGGTGCATCAGAAGTGAAGGCACGCTCTGGCTGGTGTAGCCCAGTGGATTGAGCTTGGGCCTGGAACCAGAGGATCGTGGTTCAATTCCCAGTCAGGGCACATGCCTGGTTTGTGGGCCACTTCCCAGCAAGGGGACTCATGAGAGGCAACCACACATTGATATTTCTCTCCCTCTCTCCTTCCCTTCCCCTCTAAAGATAAATAAATAAATAAAATATATTTTTAAAAAAGAAGTGAAGGCATGCAGACTCTGAGAACCTGTGTCTGAAGAAGAGTAATTGAATAGGAGTCAAACTTAGGGAAGAGAGAGAGTAGTGACAGAGGACAGCTGCAGTGATGGGTGGAAGACAAATTGTAGAGTACTCACTAGAACTGTTTCATTTAAATTTGTACTTTGAGGAGACAGCAGCTTGAGTTATTAAAGGTGTTTCATTTTACGCAGGATCCTGATATTATTAGTTATTCTTTAGAAGCACTAATTTGACCCCTCTCGTTAAGTCCATTAATATTTTTTATTGTGGATGTTATCCATATACTGTATGGCTGGGCTGGGTGGGGGACAATTCTTTAGAAGAAATAATTGAAGCCATGAATGGGAGAGTAAAAGGAGAGAAAACATAACTAGCCTTTACATGTTTGGTTTCCTTCTAATAATTAGAGCATCTTAGCTTGAAAGAGGCATTATAGGCCACTTAATTTGATTCTCACGTTTTACAGTTTAGGACGCTGACAGTCAGATAAGCCAACTAAATTGTCCTGCAAGACTAGGTCATATGATCATTAAATGGCACATGTAAAAGTAGAATCCAGATACCCTCACCACCAGCATAATTCACTTTTATATCTGACAGGCAGACAAAAACTATCAAAAATTATATTGGATGTAGCAGACAGAACAGTCTCAGAACTGTAATGGGTATGACCTTTATTCAATGTGGCAAGCCGTACCCTATCTCACTCGCCCTAAATCCTTGGTTATGGGTCCCTCACACTAACTTTGCATGTTGTCTTTCTGATTTCCCTAATATTAGGAAGGGTATCAAGACTATGAACCTGAAGCCTAAGAAAGATCTTCGCTCCCAGTTTCTCGAGGTCTGCTGACAGATGTTCCATCCTGTACAAGTGCTCAGTTCCAACCTGCCCAGTCATTTTCCCAAAGTTTTTACAGTGTCTTTTGAAGTCTTCCATCAGCAGTGGTCGAAGCGCCTGCACCTGACCCCACTGAGCATTCATTCCGGTGCTTCCCTCTCACTGACGTGAATATACGGTAGCAGGTCCTTGTGTGCCGTGTGCGTACTGTGGCTTCAAGTATAAAATGTTAAAGCAGACTAATAACACCTAAGTGACTACCACTTATTCCCAAATCCTCACTATTTTTTGTTGCTCTTGTTGACAAGTTGTGACTTACTATCATATATTAAAAGATTATAAGATTTTTAGGTGTCTTTTAATTATTCTGTCTAAGAATAATGATGTATTGTGAAATCTGTTCATATATACAATACTTCAAAACATGTGAGCATGAAACTATGCACCTATACATATTAACTATGAAGTTTTACTGTTTTGTGATGTGTTTTATTAATTTTTGTTTGTATATAAATGGTGAAAATTAAAATAAAATGTTATCTCACTACAAAAATCTTATTTTTATCCCATCTCACTTTAATAAAATGATGCTTATAAACAACAATTAACTTAATATAAAGTCACTGACCGCCATTTGGAAGAGGAGAAATTTTAGAGCTGTTAAAGACATAAGAAAGAACACTAACCTTTTCCTCTAGAGACAACCGGAAGCCTATAGCATGTTCTGATGTGCACTAGCTCCTTATGGGGCTAGACTGCAGAAGTGGTTTCCATGGAAGGATGGATGTAAAACAGGATTTTTACCACATCCCCTTTAGATATTCATTAAAGTCTTTGGGGGAATGAACATAGCTTTGTTTAACCCAAAACTTTCTTTCCTTTTTTTTTATTTAATAAAGATCTCCAGGAACTACCTTAAGAAATCTTAATTTTCCAGATTTATAAAAATTTCATAGACCCCTTTAAATTCTGCTGAATTTATTAATTCCAGCTTTAGAAAATGTTTTTTTTTCTGTGTAGGAAGATTCACTAACTCCTAATAGGTGCTGGCAGTAAACTGGAGAGTGAAAACTATACATAAATTAACTAAAAATTTGTTTGGTTTTTATTTTAACCATTCAGGAGAAAAATGTCGTAGTCACTTTTAAAAGTAGTCAGATCAATGGAATAGAATCATGGAGCCCAGAGATAAAATCCTTGCTTATATGGTCAATTAATCTACAACAAAGGAAGCAAGGGTACACAGTGGAGGTAAAGTCTCTCTGATAAGTGGTGTTGGCAAAACTAAATAGGTATATGCAAAAAAAATCAGACAACTTTCTTATACTACATACAAAAATAAGCTCAAAATGAATTAAAAACTTAAATGTTTGATGGAAACCATAAAACTTCTAGAAGAAAACATAGGCAGTAAACTTTGACATTGCTTTTAGCAATATCTTTTTGGATATATCTCCCTGAACAAGGGAAATTTTAAAAATGACTAATGGGACTACATAAACTAAAAAGATTTGCATAGCAAAGGAAATTTTTGAACTTTACATTTGGTAAAAGTTAATGTGCAAAATGTATAAAGAGCTCATACAACAACACACTCACGCACGCACACACACGCACACACACACACAGAGAAACACCAGACATTCCAAATACAAAATGAGAAGAGGACCTGAACAGACTTCTCTCCCAAAAGAGTGTACAGATGGCCAACAGACTTATGAAAAGATGCTCAACACCATTAATCATCAGGGAAATGCAAATTAAAACCACCAGAAGGTATCACTCCACACTAATCAGAATGGCCATCATCAATAAATCAACAAACAGCAAGGCTGGTGAGAATGTGGAGAAAATCGAAGCCTCATGCACTATTGGTAGGTTTATAAACTAGTGCATCCATTATAGAAAACAGTATAGAGATTCTTCAAAAAGATTAAAAATTGAATTGCCATATTATCCAGGAATCCCACTTTGGGGCATTTATCTGATAAAATAAAACCACTAACTTGAAAATATATATGCACTCCTATGTTCATTTCAGCATTACTAGTAATAGCCAAGAGATGGAAGCAACCTCAGTGTCCATTAATAGAAGAATGTATAAAGAAATGATGGTACATATATAGAATAGAATATTACTCAGCCATGAAAAATAATGAACTATTGTCATTTGTGACAACATAGCATTGTACCTTAAAGGTGCATCTAAGTGAAATATCAGATAGAAAAATACAAATAACATGATCTCACTTATATTTACAATACAATCTAAAGAAAACAAAATCAATAAAACAATACAGAAACAAGCCTATAGATATAAAAAACAAGCTGATGGTTGCCAAAGGGAAGGGGGTGAAGGGATAGGAATAAAAAATCACTGTTAGAAAGTGTAATTTTAAGAAAGAATATTCTAAAAGTGCTAGACAGATTATATGTAATTGTGAGTAATTTGATGTAGATTAGGCATTGGCAAGGAAGGAAGGAGGAATGTGTATAATGACTACATATATAAGTAAGAATGACCACCATAGAAACTTCCTTTCTTTCCCAATTGGACAGAGACTACTAGTAGTGTTAAGCAGCCTGTACAGTCTCAAACTAGAGAAAACTGATAAGTCTCTTGTTTCATTTATGTACATTAATGAGCATTTCTAATTAGGAAGACAACATGGAAAAGATATCTTTGTACAAAAAGCTTTCTAGTACTAATATGCACATAGAAAATACCTGGGATGATATACACAACTATTGGTTATTTTGTGCCAATCACTGAAGCAAAAAGCTGTGTAAGGCATACAAGCCTTTTCAGGAAGGTTGCTTCACATCCACTGCTGAGACATCCACCCGACAAGCTGCCTGAGCGTCAGCTATTCCTAGGTTTGCTTTGCAGATATCATGTTTCCAAACCTGAATTATTCAGCTTCATAAGACTCCCAAAAAGCTTTAGCAAAATAGGTCAGGGGGTTTTGGCACATGATTGGCATCACAAGAACCATTATGTGGTTTGGCATTCCAACCTGGATCTTTTTCAAGATCTCCCCACCAATGTGAGATGCAAGTTGTTTCCTTCCGGCTCATCCAGCAGGTAACTATTGGATTAAATGCACACACGCACACAACACACCCTTAAGGATTCACCATTAGTTCTGAGATAGCATTGTCCACATCTATGCTGAGAAATCAAAAATCATTTTCTAACTGCAAACTTGATAAACTTCTCTGTCCACCACGCTGACAGCAGTCTGTTTTTTCCTGGCTTGAGTCCACCCCACTGTGTTCATTCTGTCGTGGGCAGGAACATAACAAGGATGGCATTTCCCTGTTTGCTCTGTTCCTGGAAATGGAGAGAGATTTCAAAACTGACTATATGTCAAATATTGATGTGATTTATTAATAATAGCTCATTCTCAAAATAACCCTAAGAAGTGCTATTACCCTCATTTTACTTCAAAATTTAACAGCACATTTTATTTAATTCACATCCAAAATATTTTTTCTACATGTAATCAATACAAAAATTACTGATGAGATATTTTTTACATTTCTTGGTACTAAGGTTTGAAACCCAGTACTTATTTTACACTTACAGGACTCATGTCTCATTTGGGCTAAGTAACCATATTTCAGGTGCTCAAGAGCCCCGTGTGACCGGTGACTGCTGGCCTGCCCACCAGTCAGGGGAAGGGAGGTGCGACCCTGCTACATGAGCTTCCAGATCCTGTAGTGGCTGTTGCCAAAAATATTTGCTCCAGTACCTCCAAAAAATTTTTGGAAATTGTTGGGGGTATATATTTCTAAAATGTATATCCTTCTACCTTCCCCTGCTCCACACATGCTGTTAGACTGGTAACTGAAAGTTTTCCAAGATTAAGTAGTTGTAAAGATATAAATTGCAGTGTATTTGAAACATTGGCTTTTAAATTTTATATTTTTAAGTTATAGTTTACAATATTATTTTGTATTAGTTTCAGGTTTACAGCATAGTGGTAAGATATTCATACACTTTAGTAGCCCCCCTATATTTCCAGTACTCACCTGGCATCGTACAGAGTTATTATAACACCAATTACCCTGTTGCTTATCCTATCCTGTACAGGTCTCATTTCATACATGAGCAAACCGAGGTGCCCACAGGCCAGGTAACTTTCTCATAGTCACACAGGGAGCCAGTGGGAGAGCTGGGAGTCTCAATAAATACAGGGATAGAGTCTGTGCTCTCAGCCCCCATTCAACATTGTCTCTCACAGTGAGGACACACAGCTATAGAAGAGAATCTTCCAGAAGTCTAGGAAGTGGGTAATAGTCTCACTTTTCTACATGTAATTATTGGTGCATTCCTATTTTTCTTCACATATCTATGTCTAGAATCAGTGATCCTCATTTATATATGGAGATATATTTTTAATTCTAGGAGAAAGTAGCCAGCCCCTGATACCACTGACTGATACTTCCTTATAACTAAACTGCATATCCTGACCACAGACTGATCTATTTCCAGAAGATAAATATTTAACATAGTAAGAGCAGTCTCTAGTAAGGCAGGTTTTGTCATTTTTTCTGTTGAGTGATGGATACTTGACTTCTGTCAAACAGTATATGTGTGTGTGATGTGTGTATGTATAAAAGTTTTGCTAAGATTTTCACTTAACAGAAATGTAATGAATGAATTTATAAGTGAATAAATCAGAAAAGGCATAATGAATTAAGGATTTTTATTTCTATAGAATAGTAACACCTTAACATTTCATAATAAGTTTTTATTTTCTAGGTATATTTTTGGATATAATAAAGCTATATTTTATTATTTGTGTAAGCATGGATTTGAAGAACTCAAAAGCAGTAGAATAGATATAACACAAACTATTTCAAAATATGATTTCAGTTATGATATCTACTGTATAATTATGTAATATTTTCCTCTATTTTTTTGCTGTTACAATAGTATCTTTGATGTTTTAAAAATCTGATGGCACAAGTGGTATATTAAAAGGAGTTAAAATAATTCCTTCCAAAAGCCTGAGTTTGGGCCTTTAGTAAGTTTTGCTGATATATATTACTTCTAAAGTTAGGTTGGATTCCATAACAGCTTTCCAAAGTTCATCCTTCAACTATAGGTATTGTACTGGGGCAGCTTCTCTTATGAACCTTATGAAAACGTATCCTCAGACTCCATTAAAGGTCAATGACCAGAAATTCCCACTGTTTCTATGGCAACACAGCAAGATATGGTGCCTTGGAAATGTGCAGCATTTTAATTAGGCTGCTCTAGGGCTGCCTAACTGCCTTTTGCAGGTAAACTAAATACCCAGTTGCTTTATCACTTGCAGTAAGATGAAAGCTAATCCAGA